GATACATGCAGCAAAATATAACATTTTAAAAGGTTAAGAGACAAAATGAGGTAAAATGTATTATAATACAAATAAATAATGATTTATCTCGGAAAGATAAGACACAAGACAAGTGAATAGATGCAACAATACAAAACCCTATAAAATAAAGTGAACATATAGGTACAACAGAAATACAAATAAATAGATAATAGTCATAATTCTAATAAATGTTTAACGATTAAAATATTTTAAAAAACAACGTAAAAAGAAATGATGTACAACTAAATGATAAAACCCCGAATTTTCACAATGTCTTCTTGTTTACTAGCTTATAAGTGAGTTATTTATGGTGTAGTGGGCGTCGGACGCGGGGGTACGCCGTACCCCCACTTATTTGAAGCATGATTTCTTTTTTTAATAGTCTAATACATCTAAAATCAATGCCAGTGTTATCAGTTGGAAGTGTGTGTTTGTTGTAGTAATGACGAAAACATAATAGGCAGATTTCACAGTAATTATAATAAAAACGTAGCTCAAGCATTTATGCAACTTGATTTGAAGCGTGTGTGTGTGAGGGGCAGAACTGTGTGTGAAGGGTGACCAGGTGTCCCGCACTGTGCGGGACTGCACACACAGCATTTTTATTATTTGTCCCGCGTCCCACACATTGAGACTATGTCCCGCATTTGAGTGATAGTCGCGCAGAAAGGCCGGATCGGTTCGCTGACAGCCGGCACCGCCCTTTATTATTATATTGTCTAAACGGCATCATAGTTGCGCTGACAGGCGACACAGAGGTCCCCCAAGCCCCCCCCCGTTGAAAGTTCACGAGCGCGTCCATAGTGTCTCCCGTCCACCCAGTAAAAAAATCCCCACTACACGACTGGTTTTAGAGAAATATGGCTGGCCCTACTTTACATCAGTTAACATGATACACTTTCTCCTCCTGCTATTTTAGATGAGCTGGTGACCCCCAGTAGGGTGACCACATCCCCCTCTGGTGGTGGGAGAGTGACGGTGCTGCGCTGTAAGCCAGGCCTGTTTGCCTGCCAGCACATTGAAGAGTGCGTCCCTGTCTCTGTGCTCTGCGATGGTAGACCGGACTGCAAAGACAGCTCTGACGAGATCAACTGCGGTGAGACCTGAGCGATGTTTGGTCATGTCAATTTGTAATCTTCTTTTTAATCCTCACCACATTTGAGTTGCCTTACTTGTGATTGAAAGCATTTTATCTTACAGTTGAGTCAAGAAATACACAGTATCTTTTGGACTATTTTCCTTATCAATGTATGTTTTTGGATTCCTCTTCCTCAGGCACGGCTCCAACCAAAGGCTCTCCAGGGTTGCAAAACCAGACCAGCTCCTCGGGGGGACCAGGTTTCCATGGTGACAGTACAACAGGTGCCCCAGGCCTCCATACCACCTGGTCCCAAGGTGGCATTCCTGGTGTTGAAAGCCCTGGGGTCACAACAACTCCAAGTACAGGTACAATCAATGGTTGTTAAAGTCTGCTTTTCTCTGATTGACGTTGGATCTTAACCCCCCTTTTATGTGTGCCTGTTGCAAGTGATGTTTGATTATTCAAAAGATTCATCTTCCCAGGGGTCACGACAGGTCACCCTGGACTGCATCTCACCACAAGCTCTTCTGGAAAACCTGGGTTGCAAACCACAACAAGTGAGACACAAAACAGCCTTTTTTAGTTATCCATAATCCAGGCAGGACCCATTGATTAACACTTGTACAGAAGAGACACAAATTGACATATGAGACATATTTCCTTTTCATTTACAGCCTCATGGAACGCTACAACCCCCGATGATGATGGTAAACCCAGGGTGCTTTGCATCGAAGGCCAGTTTGTGTGCCGGTCCTTTGGCTGTGTCGACTCGGCACAGGTGTGTGACGGCAGACAGGACTGTTTGGACGGGTCGGATGAAGAACGCTGTGGTATGCATCAACAAACTGTTGCGGGGGAAAGCACAGAAAAATATGTAAAATAGCTGTTATTGACCTTATTGAAAATGCATTCATGTTTATTTTTAATGGTGAACTTCACAGAAATGCAAAATATAAAAGAAAAAAAGACCTGATGTATAGTTCCTGGAAAGACTGTGTGTTAAAATTGTTATTTTATTGTATTCCCTTGTATTATCAGGCACAACAGCCAGACCTGCAGTGAACACATGGGCCCCCCAAGTGCCGAGCCCCTGCTCACACAAACAATTCTCTTGCAACAGTGGGGAATGTGTTCACCTGGACCGCAGATGTGACCTGCAGAAGGACTGTGTGGATGGATCAGATGAGAAAGACTGTGGTAAGATAGAAGGACACTGTAAAAGTGGAAATAAGACAAAACAGAAGAGGGGTATTCTTATATTTTTGCCACATTTTTTCCTCTCCTGTATAGTGGACTGCATCATGTCCCCGTGGACAGCATGGAGTGTGTGCAGTGTGTCCTGTGGTCTGGGCTCCTTGTTCAGGCAGAGGGACATTCTGAGGGAGGCTCTGCCAGGAGGGGCCTGTGGTGGAGCTCAGTTTGATGGTCGAGCCTGTTTCCCTCGAGCATGTCCAGGTCTGTTCCCTGAATCTGATGTCAAACAAGACGCTTCTTTCATATAACACCAGTTTCAAGTTTCAAGGCCTTATTGTCATTAGCATATGGTTCTTCTCCTCTTGTAGTTGATGGTCACTGGGCAGAGTGGAGCGAGTGGTCCGAGTGTGACGCTCAGTGTGGAGGGGGTGTCAGGCAGAGGAACAGAAGCTGCTCCGATCCTCCTCCGAAGAACGGTGGGCGGGACTGTGGGGGCATGACCCTGCAAAGCCAGAGCTGCAACAGCCAGCCCTGCACCAAAGACATCGGAACACAGACAGGTGGGGCAGACTGTCAAACACTAAACTCTGCCGGTGTTTGATTTATATCCAATTCTAATTACATTCAGATTCATTCATGAGCGAAGTCTTAAAACAGGTTTAAATTTCCTAATTCTGGGAATTGAAAAGAAAAGTGGTTTATAGGTCAAAGATGGGTTCGGGTGACAGTAAAACAGGGGGAAATGTGTTGCAAAATGAATGAAAGAGAAGGATGAAAGGAATATAAAAAGGTTAGAAAAGTGTCATAAGAACTATAATTTCACGGGAAGACTAGGGGTAGAGGAAATCGGAGAATTAGGTTTGGGATATTACCAAATATCTGGAACAAACTAGAAACATGCAGGTCTGCTGCAACTCTTACTACTTTTAAATCCAGGCTGAAGGCTTTTATTTTTGCCGCTGTTTTTAATTGAACTATTCATATCTTACACTGCACTGTAACTTTTATTCATGTACCCGTGTTCATGTTTTATTATCTTTGCTTTTTAATGTTTCTAATGTGTGTTTTTGTAAAGCACTTTGAATTGCCTTGTGTTGAAAATTGCTATACAAATAAATTTGCCTTGCCTTACATGTGCTTCCTGTTTGTTCAGGCTGTGTGGAGGGGATGGTGCTGGTGACAGAGGCTGACTGCCAGGCTGGACGGGTGGAGCCCTGTCCTCCTACCTGCTCACATCTCAGCTCGTCCAGCAACTGCACTGCAGCATGTGTACCTGGTAAGACGCACAGGAGGGTGTACGGTGTCATTTTGTAATCAATTGTCTAGAGCAGGGGTGCCCACACTTTTTTGGCTGGTGAGCTACTTTTGAAATGACCAGCTCACCGAGGTCTACCAACCAAAAATAAAATCCCAAATTGCAAGGGTTGCTGAATAACACGTTTTAGGGCTGCAACAAACGACTAATTTGATAATCGATTAATCTATTGATTAATGAAACGATTAATCGACTATTCGGACTATTACTGTATGCCTTTCACAATTTCTCAAACGCTCTTATTTAGCCATCAACTTTTAGATTTAGCTTGAGGTTGTTTTAGGCATGTGGAAACTAACAATGAAGACAATAAAGATGAATACTACTTGATTCAGAAATACATATATTATTAAACTAACTAAACAAATTGTGAACAAAATTAACATTGCTTTTTATTTAAATTAAATAAATAATATTTCACATCAAAAGAAACAACAATATTTTAACAAATCGTATTAAATAATCTGATGACAGAACTGTAAACAGAATAGCTGAAACTTTAACAAAATAAAGATGAACTCTGTTACCAGGGGCGCCGTAAGGGGGTGAAAAGTTAGGACGATTCTACTGGCCCGTGACTGACAGGGGCCCCAAAAATTGTAGAACATTAAGAAAAAATGTTTAAGTAACCTTTCATCAATCATCAATAATTAACATTAATATAACATTATATTGATAATATACTCACTAAATTTACGATTCATTTCACTTTTTTGTGTCCAAAAGTTAATTATCCAAAGCCTCTGTATACCCCCCTCTATTTACATGTAATGGTTTGGTCCTGTCTCCAAACGCTGTGCGGCACCGCTCTTTCGGCACCTTTCGCCACATCGCCATCCCTCCGCCAATGTGTGCACTTCATGAGCGTAGGGACGCGAGTGTACGAGAGTG